CCCCTTCCCAACCCAAGCGAATATACCGGCTTCGCATTTGACGGCAGCATGCCCTCAATAAGACACGTCTTTGAGACTTTGGAAGTCCCCCCTACATCGCCCTTTGCCGCAACGGTCATCATGATTACTCTCCACCGACGCTGCGCCGATCACCTCAAGGCTTCGTCTACCCAGGCGTCGTACAATTTCGGCGACATCCAGTTTGCCATTACCAAGGCGATTGATCACTGTCGCTACACTCTCTTGTCGGCGCACATGACCGGGGCCAACCGCAGTGAGCAGCTGTCGTTGGTGATGCGCATCAACCTGGATGCCGTCGAGATCATCCTGCACGACGCCGCCCTGGTCAGGATTGAGAATGGGCAATGGCCAGCCAATGTGCCCACCAATTCAGCGGCAAAATGCATGATGGCTGCTACGGACATTGTCACGGCGATCCAGATGGGCCAAAGCCTGACGGGCCACGCCCTCGCGGGCTTCGAGCAGCTGGACCGGTTCCTGGCTTGGCCCATGGCCACGGCCATTCAGGTCTGCCTCCGGATGCTGGACCGCAATGGGGAGGTCAGCTTGCAGTGGGTCAATTTCCTGCGCATTCTGTCGAGTGCCATGAGGAAGCTCATACTGCCGGAGCATGTTGCCCCGGGACTGTTGGAGAGGGTGGATGCGCGGATTGCAGGGGCAGGGCGATGAAGGGAACGGGGAGTCTCCAACGATGAAGCAAGATTCCCTCTCTCCCTCCCTCTCTCTCTCTCTCTCTCTCTCTTCTCCCTTTCTTCTTGCTGTAAATAGTCTAATGGTTCATGATGAAGGAGTTGGTAGTCTTATTTTGTCCAGGTATTTAGGTCATGACTGTAATGTACTCGTTTTCTTTAGTAATAATAGCTGGATCATTTACACATGCCGAGTAAAACAGACGGAACCAAGTCTTTCTCTGTTCATCTATCTCTACATAAGACCACCGGGCAACTTTCTGTTTCTACTGGCCCCCAGACGAGCTTTGTGAGATGAAAAGGGCTCTTCCCTATGCTCTAGAAGCCGCTGTCTTGTCAAGTATCGGCCACGGCCGGGGTAATTTAGGTGCGCTCATACAAACTTAGGTGATTCTGCAGCTCGTCAATCCCGGATACGCGTAACTGCCCTCTCCCCCTCTCCCCTCTCCTACATCAGAGGGGGATCGACGAAGGGAAATGCTGGTGCTCTCTGTATGACATAGATACGGTATGTTGGGTCTTGTTTGGATGCAGGAGTGGAGTTCTGTCCCCCACATGACTCTTTTGTTATTACCTCGAAGAGAGATTTCCGTTTGTGGGTATGGGTTCTGTCACTGGATGCTGCTAGAATGACAAGTGTACATGTTGATGCCGACTCTAGCGCGTCTAAGGCAACTGATGGAGCAGATTGGGGAAAGGTGGATTTAGACGGGACTGTGTGACATGAAATGTCCTCGCACTAGGTACTTGGCTATTGTGCGGTCGACGTGTCTTCCTCTGAGAGAGGGAGAGAGATGAGGGAGGGAGGGAGGCTCTGCTGGCCGAACTAATGTTCTAGGCAGCAAAACCTACCACAGACCCTGGCAGCGACTAGCTGGGTAGATGCGGGCCGTTGCGTAGCTTCCGTCCCCTAAACAAGTCCAAGTCCTTGGTTAGAGACCGTTCGTTTTTGTTTTGACGCCTCTCCCATTGTTTTCGAGAAGATGTTTTTGCCTTTGGGGGGTATAACACAGCTGAACCAAGCCGTGTTTCTCATGATATTTGTCGATTCTTCATGTCTGACTAACTCATCACTCGCATATAGGACACTCCAGATGGTCTAGAGCAGGTTCTCCATGAAGAGGGGGGCTGAACGGAACTCTTGCGGGGAAAATGATGCACGAAGGGAGCACAGGTCAACGTCTCCACCTCATCTGTATTCACCCATCCAATTACATCTCATCCCATTTCCTGGGGGGGGGGGGGGAGGGGGCAAGCATTCCCTTTACATGCAACCAAGTTTGTTCGTGATGTTTCTACTTGATCAGGAAGAAAAGAAAAAAATTGGTCATCAACATGACACCTTCTTGCTGTACCCAGCTTTTCCCGCCAGCACATATCTGCAGCAGCACAGCAGATGCATGTCTCGCGCGCGATAGTATGGCTCCACCAGGGTGTTCGTCATCATCATAATCATCAAGGTGGCTCAGGCATCACAAGATCAGGATGGATGGGTCAAGAATTCGGATGTAAAATGTCCCGAATCCCAACCCCCGAGTACTCTGCTTGCCGTTGGTATAGAGAATGTAGATAATAAAAGGGCATGCAAGAAATGCTGATCCCAACCGCATTCATCGTCGCTTGCCCTTCATTAGCTCATGACAAAGCGAAGAGTCCACCATGTCCAAACACCGGAATAGCTTCTATTAGCCAATACGTTCAGCATAATCAAGCCTCCCACCCTCGTCAGCATTACTTTATCAGCTTTGTAATCACAAGCTAAACCCACTGGCCCTAGACTGCCATGGATTGTATGAGACATGAGGCTGTCTGTAGCAAGTGCCCAAGGTCTAGCCTATGGTGTCACGCCGTGGGAGACAAAGCAGCGCTGTTTTGCTATGGTAATTTGTGTGTGACGACTGATGAATACACTTCGACAAGCACCGACGCTGGTCCAGACACGAGTGACTGAGGATGAAGTGATGAACGACCCAGCAAGGTTTCTTTCTGACCGTAAATGCTATGAACCATGGGAAAGTGGCTTGAAGAGCGGTCTAAGCGAGCTTCAAGAAACGAGCTGCTGACCTTGACACCAACTTCAGGAGGAATCTTGAAGGGCCGAAGAATCCCTGTTTCCGGGTGCAGGCTAACTCTCAAGATGGCAGTAACAGAGTACCAAGTAAATTATCATGTGATGGGAGGCTCTTTGAGCTTGGAGCAACTCCCTGGATTGTTAGGGGCTCGGCATGGTCCAAGGAATGCAAAGCCAGAAAACACAAGTGTCTAGAACATGATTAAGACATTACGCCCAATTTACCTTGCGGCTCCCCATCATTGTGAGACGCATAATCTCCTACTCCGGAAGACATGGACTATGTTATGTATTTATGCCACTCCGGGGAACGGTACCGAGGACGGCAATGAGCCCCGGCCTGTAAGGAAGCGAGAAGACAGTTTTCTCCAGCGCTCCGGTCCACTGCGTGAACCCCATTTGTCGATATGAGTCTAGATGATACGCGTGTATGGTAATACGAGCGCTTCTAGACTCCTTACGTATGCGCTCTCTTGCGCACCCCCTCGCATCATGCACGTGTGGAATGGACATGGAAAAATCCGAGACCTAAAGCGGGGGCGGCTCTGCCAGCCACTTCCATACAGAAATCGTACGAGTTACTCTAGATGTGTCCCGTACGGAGTTGAGTTGAGGATACTGCGACCAAAGTATGACTCTATGAGGCATGCAGGATTGGAAAATGTAGAGTTAAAGCGCTTGAATTACATTTCTAGGACGCGCGATCTAGGCAGTATGTGATGGATTTTGAGCGATTACGAAGAGAAGAGAGCACTCCGTATCCTGTTCAAGAATAGAGACTTTCCATACCCTCTTCATAACCTCATCATCCACACGAGAGTCGCCATTAGCCTACTGCCATCGTGCTCTTCAACAACATGAGCCTTCACCCTCGAATCGTGCGGGAACGCCCACTTGTTCCCAGGCTTTATACTGCTACTCAGATTGTCAATAGTCTTGGTGCAATTTCCACCGACGTCGTCAAATATAACGCCAGGTCGATAGAATGAATCCGGAAAACATGGACCCGATGGCCTGGTGCGTAACACAACATGATCCCCCCACTGCTCCCCTATGGACATATCGAGCCACTGATCGTATCCCCCATCCAAGACTGCTTATCTGGGGGTATCGAACCCCACCACTTCAGTTGCGAAGATGGTGGTAGGAATTAGTGGTTATGAGGAGCTTTTGTTTCACCCCTGAGGAGAAGGTCTTGATTGAGGCATGCCGCGATGTAAGTTTACTTGCCCCAAACAAGCAAGCAAGCAAGCAAGCGAACGAACGAACAACAAAAAGGCATTGAATTCCTTGCTGGCCGCAGCTCATAAATAGTCGAGGCTCAGCAAGCCTACTTCGAGTCCCTCATCGACAAATTCGACGCCCTCAAGCGTTCTACTTTCGCTTCTGCCATTTCATTGGACTTTGACAAGATGGCAGATCAAAATTCAGCAATCTTCTCCCCCTTCCTTTCTCTTCACCTCTTTTAGCAACCAGCTTGATGTTCGAGCTCTTGACCAAGTCAAACCTGTCCACCCAAGGAGGAGCCAAAAAAAAAAAACAATCATCCTCTTAAGACTGACTAGCAAATTTGTCAGAAGCATTCATGGGACGCCAGCTTCTTGTCCCCCGCACGTGCACCGTCCCGTACATGGATGTAGTGATTGTGGTAGGACGTGAAAGATATGATCAAGGGATTGCCTGAGAAAGGCAGATCTAGTAAAAGGAAACTGAGGCCCAGTGAAATTACACCGCTTACCCCTGTCATCACGAGCAAGGGCAAAGCCAATGCGGACAGACGCTCTGATCTTGACGGCTGCAAAAGAGACAGACAATCTCTCTCAACTCTATCCCACACCAAATTTCAATTCTTTTCAGCAATTTGTTAACAGCATGAAGTACTGATCTCTCATTCTCATTGACCTTATATTCAGACATCTTCAGGCGGCTTCAAGGACCAGAATCCTGTATTGTTCCATGCCATGCCTAAACTCATACCAGAACCGTCAATCCAACACGGCAACAAGGGTATAGAGAACTTGCTCTGGTCACCATGTAGGTTAAGCTACTAACTGCTCACTGAACCGGCCTCGATAACATGTTGAAATTCCGGGTTTAATATCTATTTAAGAATAAGTGATGATAAGAGGCAGACCCTTAACACTGGTGATGTTTGGTATGGGAACAGTAGAAGAAGAAAAAAGAGGGAGAGATAAAAAAGACAGTGAGGTGCAAAAAAATGGACGAACGGGGAATTGAACCCCGGACCTCTCCCAAGCTAATCTACCACAGGAAGAAACATGCTAAGGGAAAATCATACCACTAGACCATTCGCCCATGATTCTCTAACCGAGGCGAAATAAGGGTTACTGTTTTTTCTTATAGGTGACAAATTGCGTAATGGCTCCTACCAACGCAGTACGTATGTCTACAATTGCAATCTTGATAAAGGCTGCCATCATATTGACAACACGCATCGACGGCCCATTGCCGCCGCACCTCTCACTTCCCGATTTGGATACATGAGGGCACATTCAGACAGGCCTTGATTATGGTAGCACCGTGACGAGGAAGAAAAGTGAGTCGATTAAACGTTCCAGGCGGATAGAAAAAGATCCTAACCATGCCACGCAGTCAATCCAGCAGCTGGTGTGTATATCATTTCCCATAGCGCAAAACCACAGTCAGCAATGGCCGACAATCTTCCTCCACAGGAACCCCCTCTACGATCAACGAGAAGCGCATGAACCTCCCAAGAAATGGTCACTCCGTGGCAGAGACGAGCATAGAGGCATACCGCCTTGCTTTCTTTAGTTGAATCCCAACAACTTCATCGCGGTGCTGTGTCCATGATCGCTGGCAGGGTCCTTGCTCAGACCGTCGGCAAATGACCCCTCAGTGGTGACGCTCCCCACGGACATGGGTGTCATGCTCCCAGAAGCTGGCGTTTCAGATCCTTGCTTCTTGGCTACTGCCTGTTGAAGCTCGTCGACCAGACCGTTGTAGTCTCGCGGGGCAACCGGCTGGAACATGTTCTTGAACCAGTTCTTCTTGCGTCTGGTGTTGATATCGAGGTCTTTGAGCAACATATCAATGTACTTTGCAGATGATCAGCAAGACGTCTAAGCTTTTACAAGATTAGATGGGGTACTTACGGGAAGGAAGTCGTAAATCGCATAGGCATGTTTACGGCCCTGGGCGACATATCTCTTGCGGGTCCAAACATTCCACTCGGCAATCTCCTGCTCCATCTCGTCCTGCGCAGGTGGATCATAAAGACCAAGCAGAAAGGCAACGCCCCAAAGCGCCTGAACTTCAGCAACAAGCGGAGTGTAGATGGTGTGGATGAAACCAGGGAAGATGATAGATCGATCACCTTGAGCCGCGAGTCTAGGCACAATCAATCGCCTGTAGTGCAGACTCGGGCCGTGCAGGAGCTTTCTCCCACCAGCCGTCTCCTCGCACCTGAACTCCTTGGCCTTGAAGGGTGAGTTCTTCAGCCCGGGGAGAAGGTCATCAACCGTTACCACTGCCTCGGCATCCAGCTTGGACCATTTCCCCGCCTCGGCCGGGTCCGGCAAGAAGCCGCATTGCTGCTGTAGTTCAGTGCTGAATACTTGGAACGATTTGTCAAATCCGGTGGAGAGGATGATGTAGTCTGTCTGGACTCTATCACCATTCTTGAGATTGATCACGTTGCCATCGCTCAATGACTCAATGTCAGTTCTGTGGACAGTGCAGTCACCAGAATGGAACACCCGCCAGAAATGAGGCGTACTGGCAGCTCCAAGGCCAGAGTTTGCCCAGTATATGCTGAATAATGATCAACTTGAGTCTTTATGAAGAGATTGTGGGATATATAAAAACACGTACCCGTTTCCAGCCGGCATTGGCCTTAGCTTCTTAGCATTCTCCGACTTGGAATAGCCGGCATATCGATCAGCGACCCAATTCGCGACAAGCCAAAAGAGCCAGGCAATGAACTGTCCCAGAAAGGTCCTCTGAAAAAACTGATGGCCGGCACCATCCGTGCTCATGATGCTAGCGCCGAACAAGGCACAGAATCGGGAACCAATAAGGTCAATGGTGTGCATGAGTCCAAAGATGGTCGGCGGCGCAATGGCTAGAGGGCCGGAGCCGTCCTCTCGGATAATCCAGTCGACCTTCTTGCCGGCCTTGAGCAACAGGAAGACGGTGTCGTAGGAAGACTTGGCGCCACCCACGACGGTAGCTGACTTGATGTTCTTGAAGTCGTCAAGGTGAGTGCCCGTCTCGCAGGAGTGAATGATGGGGGAATTGAAGTTCTTCTTGGGCCATGCTGGGATGACGGGATGAGATGTGGCTCCAGAGGCATAAATGAGCCTATCACACTCAACAGGTGTCTTTCCAGCCAGCTCAAGTCGCCAGCCTCCCATCAATCTGCGGGACACATTGGTCACCTTGGTTCGTAGGCGAGTGCGCCGCACCAGATCAAAGTCCCAGGCAAAGTCATTCAAGTAATTGTGAATAGTTTCACCCGAGATGTACCCATCCTCGGAGATGCCCTCATGACGCATCGGGTAGAACGAGTACTCGAAGAGACCGTGCTTGATCTGGGCGTAGAGACTTGGGTAAATCTTCTCGGCACTCCAGACGCCTCCGATCGAGGCCTGCTCATCGATAATGACAAGGTTAGCCGAGGGGTCCAGATCTAGATATGTCTTGGCAGAAACAAGGCCATTCCAGCCTATAGCACAAAGGTCAGCGTTGGTCATGTAAGTGATCAGAGAGCAGTCATTCATACCAGCACCAACGACGACAACGTCGACTTGCTCTGCCGTTGGATCCATAGTTGAAGATGGCGCTTATTCGATTAGGGAGGATGTAATCCAAACGGATGATGGTCTTGATTGTTGGTCTCCAAAGCTCTTTTTTGCCAAAAAGGGTCAGAGGTGTCGCATTTAAATCACACCAGCAGCACTGTATCAGGCTCGACGTCCATCCACCACCGGAGTTTCACACACGCCAGGATCACAAGATTTGCATCCCCAGAGTCTCTGAAACACAATGGATTGCATCTGCCTTTTCGGCTCGGAGGTCGAGTGGGGAGAGGACCTATGATACGGGCCGCCTTGACGGCTGTGCAGGACGCGACGCCGCATCAGAATCCTTCGCCTCGTACATGGTCCTGCAATCCTGCCTCAAACTTGGTGTCACATTATGTTGACCACGAATTGAGTAAAGTGAGTGATTCCGTATCGGATCCCTTGAGCGGTTTTCTCGATGAATCTGTGTTCTTGTCTCAAAGTTATCATGTCCTTTTTCCTCCTCCAGATCGTATAAACGGTACTATTTTCCTCGTTACACCAAAACATTACCTCTCGACTCATCTCTATTCCATCACGATTCTTGCGCCGCTCAAAGTTTCTACATCACCAAATCTCACAATGGCACTTCCCGATGTATCCAAGACATTTGGGGCCCTTGCCGGCCTGGGCTTAGTTTTGCAATGGGCCGTGATGGCGTGGAATGGCTCCCTTTTCGCCATATTCTCACTCCCGCTGGGTGGTGTGTTCCCCACGGGCATCCCCATCAAAACGACTTGGACTGGAATTTGGCTCATCGACTACGTGCTTTCTGTCAATATTGTATTTTTCGGAGTCCTCAACAACTTGGCCGAGTTGCCAGACCTTGGGCCTTATCTCAGTCTCTTGGACATTGCCATTTTCCTAATCGTCCTCATCATGATGTCTGTAGTTGAGGATCGTCGCAATAGGAAGACTGGACCTCTGAGATAGTATGCTCCTCTGGCCTATCACCGACCTCTGATCTCACTGTCTAACCTCTGATAGTCCGGCCCTCTGGCAATTTTATCGAAGCTACGGAGGCGTGGGTTTTACCTCACCCATTTACTTAGGCTTATATCTCAAGAGCCGATCAGGAAAATGCTCGCGAGTCCCAGCCGATCAAGCACAAGCTCTTCCTCTCACGGCGATTTGGATCGTCGTCATCTCGTCCACCCTCTTTGCGCCAGCTATTCTTGGTGGTTCAAGCTTTGACTTCCAGGACGCAGTGGTTGTCTGGCACGTTGCACCCGTTACTCTTGGCATTTTCCAGGATCTCGCAAGCTTATCGTTCAGAAGCGGCCTATATGCCGGATTCGAAAGTCCTGTCAAGCTGTCGTATCTCATTGTCGGCTCTTTGAGCGCCGTCGGGCACATTGCCATCAACTGGTGCATCTTTCAGTCTCCCGAACTCACTTGGAGCCGGGTCTTTTGGCCCGACCACAGCACTGTCCAAGACGGTGTGACGCTCACGAGAGATGGCGCTACGCTTTTCCTTCAATATGATCATGCCATCATCAACGTATGTATCATTATTTTCGGATCGTATATGCTCAAAGCTCGTACCAAGTTCGTCGCTCTCGTGGTCTTTACCCTCATCGCCGGCCCTGGAGGTGCACTGGCCTGGATTCTGTACCAAAAGGAGAGCGAGTTGGATAACGAGGCAAATGTGAAGAAGATGGTTTACTGATCTTTCCTTGTGAATGACTTGACGCCGAGGGATTGTGTTGAAGTGTTGCTGGTGGCCGGTGGATTGCTTTTGAAATTGGTATGGATATTCATAAATAGTAGTTTGTTGGGACAAATTTACATACATTCTGGCCATATTAAATGCTTCTTCATGCCCTGTTTCACACAATTGTCTGTTCAAACTCTGAAGGCTTAATTTTCTTATACTGTGAGCTTGAACGACGTGCTATCTAGTATGAAATTATCAAATTATGACAGATGTGATTATCATTCCATATCATCATTCATACTAACGTATCTTTTTGAACTCTAGTCTTCTTTATAGGGTAGGCTATTCTGCCGAGCGCTCCGTATTGCCCCTTGAGGAAGTTGCCGGTTTTTCTTTTTGACTCCTCCACCCGTGGGCCTACTGCAGTCTCCGGCGAAGAATGATCTGCATTGATTCTAAAGCTATTAGAGCAGGATTAAGGATTGAGCCCTGCGGCGCATATTTGACACTGCATTCCTCTGCGTTAGTTTACGCCTCAAGCAGCCAATGTGACCTTGCATACGGATGCCATGCGCCTCCAAAAACGTGGGAGGAACGTGAATACCATGGATGATCCAGTGTTTCTTCTGCAAGCCGCTTTAGTTGCCCACGCAATCGTGCGTACTCTCTTTGTTTCATAAGTTGGTGTTGGCCACTTCACATTTAGGCTCCGTTTCTGAACGCATCTTGCCATCTTGTGCAATCCATCTCCCAGTCTGTCTATTGTTAGAATGGTTACCAATACAGAGGAGCAGTGAGGCCAGGGAGATTTACTAATGTTTGGATGACGGAGCTCC